GTATGTGAGTGTGTGTGAGTGTGTGTGTGTGTGTCGCCCTCAGGTGGTGGTTCTGTGGGTCGGCACCCTGTTTCTCTACAGTCTATGGTCGGCACCAATAAAAGCTTCTGCTGCAGACACTGGAGGAAACCACAGCTGCTGAACATACTTCTGTCAGCAGGCCGCACACACACACAGTCTATATGTACCGTGTTGATGTTCGTGCACATACAGCTTCTCATCACAAAATCAAGCTCTTTCGCTTCTCTGTTTGAATGGACTTTATAAGCATGATTATTTTTACACATAATGCTGCCAAGGCATCAATACAAATATATTTTCTTTTCATCGGAATGGTCTTACTGTAACATATGTAAACATATACACATTATTGTCTGTTAAAAACTTTTGATCATAATGAAATGTTATCTGCAATCTTTTAAATGTGAGAACTGTATTGGCAGTTAGTATCACATTCATATGAAATCGCTATGATTCACTGCTGAAATCACTGTTTTTATCCATGAACTGTATATTTAGTGTAAATACACGTGAGTCTCACAGATGTCTGTGCATAAATGAGCTTTTCATTTTTTTCTGAAAACTGGAACATAAATAAAATATCCATACGAAAATATGAGTAACAGAAGACATCAACAAAAGAAAGAATAGAATAGATAAAGGGCTTTAGCGTCAGTTTCAGCTCAGCCGTAAACAAACGACGTCAACGCGAGCTGTCACGTGTCATTCTGTGCTCCGATTGGCTGTTCAGCAGTGTAACTCCGCCCTCAGGCAGTCCAGCGCGACTGCATATTTTAACTAAGCGGGAAATGCTGTATGTTGAATAAACGTTGAATTACGAACTCTTGTGTATGATGTTCTTTTCTTTTTTTTAAAAAATGTGATAGTGAATGATGTTCCGTATGTGTTTGCGCGCGTTTATGACGTGTACACATGACGCGTGCGCGATGACGTCACGCGGCCAGTGTCAACACAGCAGCGCGAGAGCGAGCGGACCCGGATCATATTTCCATCGGTTTAACGGCGGACTGTGTTTCATTGCGGACGCTGTCGTGTGTTAGAATGTGTTTGTTCCGGATCGCCGTTAAAACAATATCACGAGCTTAACGCGAGACACGGTCAGTCTGACATTACACCGACACACTGCTCACACTGTACTGATATATGCGAGCTTATGACTGTATGGATACGTGTGTGTGAGTGTGTGTCTGTGTGATTGTGTGTGTGTGTGTGTGTCTGTGTGTGTGAGTGTGTGTCTGTGAGTGAGAGTGTGTGTGTGTGTCTGTGAGTGTGTGTGAGAGTGTGTGTGTGAGTGTCTGTGAGTGTGTGTGTGTGTAGAATTGTAAATACAGTTCTACCATGTTTTTAAGGTTTTTGAAAGAATCCTCTTCTGCTCATCAAGGCTGCTTTATTTGATTTGACAGTAATACTGTGGAATATCATTACATTTTCTAAGAACTTATTTCTATTTGAATATATTTAAAAACCCAATTTAGTCCAAAAGATTTCTATTTCACATACTTTTGAATTTTCTATTCATTAAAGAATCCTGAAAAAATGTATCACAGTTTCCACAAAAATATTGTGCAGCACAACTGTTTTCAACATTGATAATAATCAGAAATGTTTCTCGAGCAGCAAATCAGCATATTAGAATGATTTCTGAAGATCATGTGACACTGAAGACTGGAGTAATGATGCTGAAAATACATGTGTGTGTGTGTGTGTCTCTGTGTGTGTGTGAGTGTGTGTGTCTGTCTCTGTGTGTGTGTGTGTCTGTGTCTCTGTGTCTCTGTGTGTGTGTGAGTGTGTGTCTGTGTCTCTGTGTGTGTGTGTGTGTGTGTCTGTCTCTGTGTGAGTGTGTCTGTGTCTCTGTGTGAGTGTGTCTGTGTCTCTGTGTCTGTGTCTCTGTGTGTGTGTGAGTGAGTGTGTCTGTGTGTGTGTGTTTCTGTGTGTGTGTCTGTGTCTCTGTGTGTGTGTGTGTGTGTCTCTCAGACGGAGGGTGTGCGTGTGTCCGTGGAGCTGCTGTCGGAGAGTGCTCAGAGTCCGGTTCTGTTCGTGGTCCGGCAGAAACAGGCCGTTCTGTCCTTCCAGGTTCCCCTCATCCTCAGAGGCCTGTGAGTACAGCTGTTGCCTAGCAACTCCACATCCCATAATAACCTGATCAAAGTGAGTGAGAGTTCATCAGTCTCCAAAAACAACAACAAAAAAATCTAAATATGAGGTATTTGAAGTATATGATATGAAGTATTTTTATTGATTATGGCAAATTAAATTAATTAGTTAATTAAATAAACCAGTGTTTATTAAATTAGAAATGAATACATTCATATATCCAAAGCAACAAAAGCAGTTTGTCAAGGAGCCAACAATATTCATAATATAAAGTGTGATGTTTGTTCAGTACATAACTGTGTGTGTGTATATATATATATATATATATATAATATACATACTGTATATACTGCTGGAGTCAGATGATAATCAGGTGTCGAAGTTAATTTTGGATTTGATGATTTGTTCATTCATGTGTGAACTTTGATCTTTCAGTTCCTCATGAACTTCTGTTTTTGCACAAGCAGCACAAATGAAGCAATAAAAGGATTTTAGTTCTCGCACTGTATTTTTTTAAAGGGACAGTTCACTCAAAAAATAAAATTCGAACATAATTTACATATTGTTCCAAACTATGAGTTTCTTTCTTCTGTTGAACAAAAAAGCAGATATTTTGAAGAATGTGGGGAACCAAACAGTTGCTGGTCCCCACTGACTCCCGTAGTATAGAAACACATCAAATACAAACTGTACCAGAAACAGAAGAAATAAATTCATGCAGGTTTGGAACAACTTGAGCATGAGTAAAAGCAAAGCATTGAATCTGGATTTAAGAATGTTTAGATATTTACATTAGAAACCAGGACAAAAATACTGTGGAAAATATAAATTTTTTGCAGTGTGTGCAACATTTAATGCCATGACTTTGAGTTTAAGACTTTCTGCTCTGATTTAAGAGCTTTTCAGGACAGAAACCCCGTATGTAGATGTAAAGGTGAGTGTGTCTCCGCAGGTATCAGAGGAAGTACCAGTACACACAGCTGGGCCGTACGCTGTGTCAGCCGCCCACCAAAGCCGTGGCAGAGACGCAGTTCTTCTACGTGGACGTGTCGACGCTGTCCAGCGCTGGGATCCACTATCAGCTGCGCGTCAGTCGCGTGGACAGCTTCACGCTGCAGTGAGTCACTGAGCAGAGTCAGGCTTCACAGACGCTATCAGATCCAGACACTAGTTCTGCCTGTCACTGTCTTCCTGGTGAACTGCTGTAAACCTGTGGCCTGAAGCTGGTGATTTAGTCGTTTTAGCATCCTGTTCACCCCGATCTTTAGGAATGTCATGCTTTTTTCTCTTCACAGGACAGACAAGAAATTCAGCTTCAACGCGACGCCGTCCCAACCACAGGTCTCACACACACTCTCTCTCACACACACACACACGCACTCACTCTCACACACACACTCTCTCACACACACACACACTCTCTCACACACACACACAC